TTCCTCTCTTTGTCTAGAACCGTGACGACAGCACTGTTTAGCTGTGAAGCATCAACCAATCAGATTTCTCTACCTGCTTCATGCTTTTAAGCAGGTTGCTCCTACTTCACTTACTATGATGATACACTACTGTAATAAGTCCTAAAATTCTCCCCAGAATACTACTAGCACATATAATTACGTATCAATTTGTGAAAAGAATACAGTTTCATGAAAACAAAAGTTTAGAGCATTCTATATCTTTACGATAGTATTGGTTAATATTTTCATTTTGAACAAAATTCGAGCAAATAAAGTCGCATTTAAAGTAAAATTTAAACTGACGATACTGACGCACGATCATTCTTCCACAAGAAGAAGGCATGGTCCATTCCTGACGCAGACCGCTGTCCCTCCTATAATCGCTGGCAATGGTCGATATTGGTCGAAGACAGTGACAAAGATCGATAACAATAGTAGCTGTCATTATTCCCTCTCATTCGGTCTCGCTACTACCCGTCGTTCACCTTTGTCACAGTCTTCAACCAATATCGACTACTGTCTGCGGTACGAAAACACCAACTCGAGGTTTCGACATTTTTTAATACTACTCCTACCACTTACTATAATATGTACTTCTTTCTGACCAAAAATTTGCACCCCATACGTGCTCGTTTATAACCATAATTAGTTACTGTTGGTAATACAGGTCGGTGAGATAGATACTTACAGTGGGTGTAAAAGTATTCGTACACTATTCGAAGCAGAATAAGTTTTTTATAATTGGACAACGTGACCTTAATTTTTTTTGGTATAATAGAAGTTTATTAGGCAATGACTAAAAAATTATTTTTCAAAATTGCAACTTGTTGGCACAATAAAAGAATGAAAAAGTAACGTTTTTCGAACTTTTTTATCTGGGCCTATGACGAAAATTTAAAAAATGCATTTTGTAGATCTCTGTAATTTATATGCTTGTTGAAAATTTTATCGAAATCGGTTTACGTTGTTATGAGTTACAACAAATTAAAGATCGTAGAGATCGCAGTTTTATCACGATTTTGACCTAAAACTGTACGAAATCTGTAGTTTTAGAAATCCTTCAACGCCTGCGTCTCGACTCTGGTTTAACCGATTTCGATCAAATTTTTACAACGCATATAAGTTACCGAGACGTACAAAAAGGCATTTTTTTAAATTATCGTTATAGGCTCAGATAAAAAAGTTAAAAAACGAGAGTTTTTAATATTTTCTTTTTATTCCAAGTAATGGCAAAATTAAAAGAAAGCTTTTTAGCCATCGTCTAATAGACCAGTCCCTCTGTCGTTTGAAAAAATACGAGTCATTTAGTTCAGTTCTCAAGAAGTTATTGCATTTTAACAGGTGAGTGAACACTTTTGTGGTCCACTGTATATTATGCACATCTAATCTCACGTAATTTGAAGTTGCTACCAGTTGGTACGTAACTATGAATAATAACAAATTTTTGTCATGCTTGAAAGTAATATTTTTCCTCCTTTTCTTGTAACGTTGTTTGAAGTACTGTTACTTTTAATTGAGTTTTTATTTATGGCATTCGATCAGGTATTTCTACAAGAATGTTGACATATAACATCGTCCTTATTGAGTTTATGAATTGTGCGTACGCATGACGCGTAAGTGTCTCGTTGTCGCAATAAAATAATCTAGTCATAGTGCTTCATCTGTTCAGTCTGGATGTTTCAGCTTTATTTAAAGTTAGTGCATTATCTCTTCAGTTTACATTCTTGATGTTTATTTAGAATTACTTAGTGAGTAAACAGAAAACTATTTTATTTGAATTCTGAAGGATCTTCTATTTAAATTAGCATTTCAAATATTTTCTGTATCAAAATTATCTTGCTCAGCAAGTATGATATCCAATGGACAAATATTGCCCATTTGTGCTCATCTTCAAGATATTCATAATATATAAGGATCGAGTAGTACTCGTCAACGCACTCCGAAAACAAAAGGTTTTAGATATTGGAATTAAAGATATGAAACACCGGCATATCACATTATACAACAGTAATCTTTTTCGTTTAATTGTACATGCTTGCCTTAACGTTTCACTCAGTATGCCAACAGAAGAAGAAGATAGAATGGCGAAAGAAACCAAAAGGAAACGATGGAAACGAATAAGAAAAAGATAGCAATGAGCAAAAAGGCAATATAAGCGAAAACTCAAAACGCAAATGTGATACCCTCAACAGCTACATGTGACGGATGGAGAGAGAGATTCAGATAAATAGAAGCAATGAATAATATTAACGAGATCGTTACATTTTTTATATTCTACTTATATAATTATAGTTCAATATTGGAAAACTATTGATATTCGCAAAAAATAAGTTAAAAGCGATGCTTGTGTCAGTAGCGTCTGATTTTCCATTTTGAATTTTGCATTTTTCTTAGAATATTCAATATCAACAACCTCAAAACTATAAGAATGCCGATTTCCATAAAAATCTAATCAAGTTATAATTCAGAGCACAACTTCTAAGGAAAGCTATCACTGTGCGTCAAGCAGAAACAAAACTAACACCGCACTGAGAAAAGTAATTAGTTGCAGTCTGCTTCGAGTGGAGTGCGAAATAAAGATGAACGATGATTCAGATGACGTCGTCGTCGATAAGTTGTGGTTAAAGGATTATCAGGGTGGGGTCAGTTCCCTGAAAAAGTTACTATAATTTCATCGTTTAGTGACGCGCTCTTAGAAGTCGAGTGTACTCGTGCGATATTGTTCCATAGTACCTTGTCAGACATCTAAATACTTTAAGCTTAGTGATTAAACCGGTGATTACTGAGAGAGAGAGAGGCGAAGTAAAAGAAGCAACAAGAAGGAAATTACAGAAAAATGCAATACCGACAACGACGATTTCTCCTTGCCGTCGTTCTTATCTCGCACCTGTACGGAGGTAATTGCGGCTGTACCTGAGTGTGATTTTACATTTTTTTGTTCATCCAAACAGCGATGCAGAAAGTTAAAGACTATATCCATCGCACCTCCATGCATATAGTTTATCTGGATATAGAAGCACTCGTTTTTCCCTACCCTTTGTCGGCCGGCCGCTTCTTAGCGCAGTTTCTTCGTATGATCATCTTACTGTAACTATTCAACATGGAAGGACACTTGTTGCACACTTGGGTGAACTAGAAAATTTTGATTAATAATAATTCATACGCACACAAGCATATAATGCTTCGGAAAGGTATTTTAATTCTATTTAAAATGGAGTAACTCTTTTGAAATTTGAAATGATCAAATAAAATGAAAGCATTATTGGTTGCTTTTAACCCCCTGCATTAAACGGACGAGTCGGGTTTGTGATGCAAATTTTATGAATCATCTATTAAATGAGAATGTTATTAATTTTTTAAGAAAATTTCAAGACACAATCGTAGTGGGCACAACCAAAGTCAATCGAGCTTTGTGAACTTTAAGGAAAACTTATGATAGCATTTATCACGACTGGACGTCGCGGAAATTCTATAATAGAATAGCATGTTGCCTCAAGGATTTTTTACATACATAATAGGCATGTTCTGTGTAATAAGAGACATCACTTTATAATTCGACGAAGGTGAATCAACCGTAGATGGCGAATAAGTAGATAAATAGATAGGCTTTTGGAGTAAGCTTTTAGAATCATAATCTCGAATGCGAATAAAATTGTTCAGTGGAAAGTTGCTTGGAAATGCGATGAAGTGAAAAAGTCGTATTTCTCCAATTTTCAAGTAGAAATGTTTGTTTCGCGTTTATGGTTATGAGGAAGCCATGAAATGTTTCGATTTGTAATAAAACTTTGCAGTTCGCTGTGTAAAATGGTGTTGAGAGAAAAACGAACAACTGACACAGTGAAAAAAGTCTTTGCTGTTAATTCATTTCTATATGTACTTATTTTCCTCGTGAAACGAAGGAAAAGGAGGTAGGAGAGGTAGAGGAAAAGAAGGACTTCCTTAATACAAGCACATGCCAACAACTGAGGGATTCCACACACATATTAAGGAAAAAGTGATATCTTCGATTTGTGATTTGGAAACTATACAGTAAACATTCCTGCAAGAAAACGACAAAATAATGATAGATAAAATAAAACTGGGGGATTATTAACTTTATCGTGAGAGTAGATTTAGAGTAGATTTTGAAATGTATAGCTCATTTAAAAACTTTGTTAAGTACAGAATTTCGCAGCTTTACGTCCATATTAACTGAAAGCACTCGAAAACTTACGAAATATTTACAATTAGTTTCCGTTGAATGGTGAAACATTAGATTTTCAAACTAATCTTTGGATTTTCCTCTATCTTCATTCGGTGAAGGATGTCACGAATCACTTTCGCGGTTTTATGAGGACACTGAAGTCGGATAACGAATAAAATATAAAAACTAACGAATAAAATTATATTCGACACTATCAAACAAAAATTTATCTACATACAAAATTCGAATATAATTTTTATTCGATGTTATCGAATCAATATTTAATAAAATAAAAATTTATTCGAATCAAATTATATTCGAATAAGAATTCATTCGTACAGGAATTCATACGGAAAATAATTGATTCGAATAAAAATGATACAATATAAAGTGTTCTTTCAGAGTTTATCGACTTATTTCTTCCATATTATTTATCTGAATTATTCAAATAAAGAATTATGATGAATTATTCAAATACAATCTTCAACTAAAATGAATGCATTTGGATAATTCGGAACAATCCGAATAATGTCCAACTTCGTCCCAGACACGGAATATCCGATAAATTGCATCACGTGGCTACGTTTACGCATAAATCGCTATGTGGGTTAAGATATTACGATCATTCACCTAACTTTCATTTAGTGTCATTGTTGGAATAATATATATATATATATATATAATAAAATATTATAATTATAATGTATATTAATTATAATATACATATTATATATTATAATAATTATTATTATTATTACTGTTTAAACGTAGTATACTTTGCAATCTGTAAGTTTAGTTTAAATAAACGAAGCAATTATTTAAGAAAGCTTATTTATTTATTCAGTTTCATAGATGCATTGTGGTAATTGATTACGTTTTGTCATTAATCGTATAGCTTTCCTTATCTTGCTCCTAGATTCAACGGCTTTAAGACGAAATATGTCATCGACAATTGACCAGATTTTTAGAAAAGAAGACAAATCGTCCAAGCGACTATGTTCCGTCATATCCGACTATTTCTTCATGTATCCTGTTACAGTAATTGATGTAAGTAATGAAATAATAAGGACATATTATAACCAATACAAAGTAAAGAAATATAACATAACACATGCTTTAATAGCAGTCTAGTATAGCCGTTCATTCACCACACACCAAAATAAAGAAAATCCAAGATGAAAATGGTACCTATTGGTACGACTACCTTCGATCGAACACAATCTATGAGGACGTTGGTTGGTATGGATGTTCATATAATACAATTGAAATTGCCACACGTAATTATGTCGACCTAGTAGTCAGCTGGATGTATGTTTATGCTGAGTGTGAGTGCATTTCAGATTTTTATTAAACTGCTAAAGTTTATGCAACAATTGCACAAAATCACAGAGCCGAAAGACTCCTTAAAGTATTATCATATCTACAGCCTAGTGGTTTTAATGTACAGAGATCGCTGTAAATCAGAACGCTGCAATTTAGTGGTTAAACTATCATGTTTCAGCTAAAACAGTTCGGTATGAGAAAGTACCGCTTTCTAAAACTTTAGAAGCACTTGAAGGCGAAAACTTTGTCATACCATGTAGACCAACGTCGCCGACAGCGTATGTCATGCTTTCATGGTACAATCAAGTAAGTATTTGATTACTTAAAACATTTTCGAGCATGCAGTAATGTAACGTTGAAGTTATAAAATATGTCGAATGATTTATTAGAAACTTGCACCCGTGGAATATCAGAAATATTTGCAAGAACGATATTTTACATGTCAAGAAAAATATTAGCATTCATTTGTACAGTCATGAAAAGATCAATTGTTCTTTGTTCTGTACGATTGCGTATGTTCTGTGGAGTTGGATTTTACAGAAGCCACGGATTGTGATTGATTAGATGGAAACGATTATGATAGGCAATTTGGTTTGACTTGTATGAATGCCAATTAGAATGAAGAACCATTAAAGTATGAGTTTGAGCGAGAGTATCGAGTGTGCAGAATAGTGAAATTATTGAGAGAGGGAGAGAGAGAGAGAGAGAGAGAGAGAGAGAGAGGGAGAGAGAGAGAGGGAGAGAGAATAATTCTATACCTGTTATCATAATTTTTATACACTTTACTGCAAATATAATTTCCTTAATTTTACCATGATCGATTCACAGGCTTCACGATTGATAGTACGTAAACTTAATGCACGAAATCTCATTTATTAAAATACATTGTGCAGGATCTCAAAGAACATGATTTACGATTTTCTTTCGATCCAAAATTTGGATTTACGCTGTACAAAGTCAAGCCGCATGACCGAGGTTTCTACAAATGCAAGATCGCTCCTGATCAAGAGGTTGCTTATCGTCTAATTGTGCAGGGTGAGTACACTTACTGAAAATGTCCATCTCATTCTTAAGCTATTTCAAGATTTCCATGTGACAGACACATCTTTTCCTTCATTTAGTAATCGCTTCAGGGTATCTTTTTAATATTTTACATTAACAAATTTTTAATATCAACAGATTTTAATAATTTAATAGTTTTATTGATCGTTGAATAAGATTATTATATTTTTGAACGTAATGACGATATCTCAATTTCTTCTCAAATGATTTCTATCACAAATCAAACAATAAACCGACTTTGTTTATGGTCCGTGATTGTTTTTTGGATCTCCACTTTCTCCACGGTATCGTCTTACGCTTTTTATGTTACAGTAGCTTTCCGTATAACGTGATAATGCGTTACGCGTTGTACAAATTCGAGTTATAGGAAATGAAGCCACACGAAAATGTTCTTCTTATATTGCCAATTATATATTTTTTTATTTATTTATTTAAGGTCGCATCAGCTTATTTTGTCAATAACCAGTTTTTTCAATGTTTTGTCCATAATGACAGTTAGAAGTACTCACAGTTTTAAAACGCACAAAAATGGAAAATGGAACTTACGGGAGTTGAAAGTGCTCAAAGGATTGGTGAGTTGTTCTTCTGTCTTCGACATGGCAATCTTTGTCATAGTGATGCAGCTATTGTATGTTGCGCAGTTAGTTGTCCAAATCGTCAGACCCAGTGACTACGTCGAAGCTTCAGCTTGTAGGAAGTTGACACGTTCGTGGCGACGACTGATAGTGTAGAATCACTTCAATATGAAACCAAGTCACATTAAATTTGCCCGATCAAGTTCAGTGTGTAACAAGTTAGCGATCTACACGTCACAAGTGACCCGCCCCAAAGTTACAAATACAAAATTACATTTCGAATACCGATAATTATGATTACGTTAACAAGTATCCGGCTCGAAGTACCAATGTTTCGAGCTGGTTGTTAGTTCGCTGGTTCAAAAACACGCTCGTGTATTGAAATGGCCTGCGGGCAACGATGGCTTGCAGGAGCCGTGATAGATGGCTGTCAACAGTAGCCGGCAAGAGCCTGTGCGGAAGATTCGTCCCGAAGCGTCCGACTTCGTGTCTGTTGTGCTTCTTGGTGGTTTTTGTGCTATGTCCTGATTGTTCTTGTGCGTCTCTGATTTGTTTAATTTCTGATGTAGTTCTTGTAGCTCATCTTCCACGTCGACTTCTAATCGTTACCCATTGGAGTTTTTAGCACGATAGGAACTCCCACCAGCCAATACGGATTTTGTTGAAAATGCCGCCCATCAGGTAGTTAAAAACAGAAAGTTCGGGACCTCGGGTTTTTCCCAATTCTGCCGGTCTGTCCTGAGGTCCATGTGTACACTTCACGTTCCAAGGGATTTACGATGGCCAGGAGATACTCCAGTGGTCCGACTTGGAGTTTTTCCTGTTCATGGTGAAGATGAGCGTAATTACCGAGACGGACCCTTGAGCTCAAAAAATAGCTGCGAAGTCACGTCCGGTCATAAATAAAACTTTAGGGTTCTAAACACTTAGAATTCTAAACATATAAATAAACCACATAACCAATTAGACATGACATAACCACAAAGATAACCAATTTGGCTTAATTGGTTCCTAATACTGCGGTCTATAAGATGAGGGTACAATTCTCGCATCATTTTTGCTAGTAGTAGTGTGTTCTCTACGTAGTCTCTAGATTTATCTAAGATGCTTTTAAAATTGGTGAAAGAAATAGGATACTGGTCTTGTAGTTCTAACATTTTGCTTTTAATTGGGTCTAGGTATTGGTCAATGATTTCCTTTACTACTGAATGATTAGCTGTTTTTTTGGGTAGGCTGTTTAAATCGTTTTCTTTACTTACATTGTTTTCCGTTGAGAATAGGTAATGCTTGATTCAGACCCAGTAGGGGTCGGAGAGTGATTCTGTCGTTTAGTTCCTAACGTATTGTGTTCCGTAAAGGGATTTGTGAAATTCGGTAGACTTCGAAGGAATATATCCGTTTCTTGTGTATTTCTGATTGTGTAACCGGTGGCAATATTTCTATAGACACTAGGTGTTGCTACTTCATGTATGTTGGTTGTCTAGAACGGTCTCTTCCCGTACCGATGTGTCGTGAACTATAGGGTACTGCCTTGCGAGGTGGCCTTCCTTCTTGCACACAAAGCAGATCGGAGAGTTTGACGAGATGAAAATCCAATAATTGTTTTGTCGTAATCCATTTGTACAAAATGTGGTAGGTTTGTTAGGTCATCTTGATGAACAGAAATCTGATGTCTGAAGCTCATAATATGTGAGAATTTAGATTCGTTGCTTCCGGCTTTGATGAAAGGAATGCTGGACTCTAGTTTAATTTCGAGCCCTTTGAAGATATT